ACTTTTAATAGTCATAGGACTTAATAAAATAATACCCTATATTCAGAGATCGTTTTATAAATTTTAATAGTCAGAGACTAAATAAGCAACGCCCAGGGACTAACGTAAGATTTTATGTTAGGGGGGCAAGGTTATAAAATTTTAAGAGGATACGAACTTATAAAATTTCAGGGGATAAAAATAGATTCTCGATAAAAAAATATAAAGAAAATATGTAAAATATATATAATTTTGAAATTTTCATGGATATCTCCACTAGTCCCTCGGTCCATCTCTAAAATATAGATGAAATTTTCTGAAGTTGTGATATTTTCGAGGCCAGTGAATGCCTTTGAACACCTTGAGGTTCACATGGTAAGTGAACCCTACAAAGAGAATGGTGGGATGATTTACATTGATGGGCAGCACCTTTCTGTTGCTGTGAAGATGGGAAGCCACATCATATAATGCACCCACATGCCTCACCTTATCCTCTATGCCCTTAACTTAATTCTTCCATTGATATTTCATGAAATATAAAACTTTTTTTCTCAATCATTTCTTGAGATTTTTTTTTAAAAAAATCTTAAATTCTTCCTTTTGGGGTCGTCTCTTCATCCATGTCCAAAAAGCTGTGAAAAAAGCCTCTTATACAGCTCTAATAATAACACACTCAACTTTTTCAAGAGTAAATTTTAGGGTATCTCTTCCATTGGATGAGAATATATTGAGGTACTTGTAGATTTATGGGTTTATTGTATGAACTGTTGTCAAACCATGGTTTAAGTTTAAATTGGTACAAAAACTTCTGAAAGTTTCAATTAAATTCTTAAATGCGAGCACCATCAGGTTCTTTTATTAGATTAATCATCAATTTAAGTTACTATCATACTTTTAGAGATTATGATCTGAATTTCGTTTGGTGATCCAAAAATCTTGAGGTGAGGTCCATTTGATGTACAAATAAATCAGGAGAAAAAAGATATATAGAATATGATGGCACAATTGAACTAATCTAGGGTTTTGGTGTTTTTATATAACTAGGATTTTTGGGTTTGATATACTTTACAAATTTCTCTTGTATTTCTCGATCACATAGTGAAATTTCTCACTCATTTAGATTTTTTTTACATAATTTTGTGTGTTCTTATTTTACTATCTTGTTTTTTTATTCATTATCTTCTCCATTTATTCGTAACATACATCTGTGTAACAATTACAACTATTAACTATTATGAAGTAATATATCCATACATGACCTACACAGTGACAAATCCAAAAATTTAAAAATGAATGTCTAAACTTTTAATTTTCTTTTTTTTAAACAATGGGTATACAAATTTTTTTTCTTAACATATTAAACTAAATTTAATTATATTTTTAAAATAATGAAATGCATTGGGTTTAGTGCATCCGCCACTGGACCCACATATTGTGAGATTTAGACTAGTAAAACTTGGACTAAATAGAAAAAAATGATATAATTCAAATGGAACATTATTTTGAGGACTCAATCGAAACATTTTGAAATTTAGAAATAAATTTAAAAATTTAGCCCATTATTTTAGAAACCCATAGTGCACCTAGTAAAGGATAAATTGCACCTAGTAAAGGATAAATTAGTCCCCATGTTGTCGGAAAAGTTGAAGTAGGCATGGCCATGGTGATCATCAATATAATGATTGTGGTTGGGTGGACATTGATAATTAATTAAAGACTCTTTTCATTTGGATCAGAAATCCCATCCGGAAAGCAAAATGCAAAACCCTGATTTCTAACCACACAGTAAAAAAAAACTCCATTGGATGGTAAGACTTTAGTTTTAAGAAAAAGGCATAAGTTTGTTATAAAATAAGTGCTTCTTGGTGTTTTTACAAAACATGTTGGGGTTATTAACCTTAATCAATCGAGAAACAAATTATTTTTAGGGTAAATTATATATTTAGTACTTAAACTATCAGTTTTTATTCGTTTTAATACTTAAACTTTTAATTTTTTTTCAATATCATATCTAACGTTTAGTTTTTGTTTCATTTTAGTATCTTGCATTTAAAACTTAACTGCAATTTTTATGGGTAAATTACATCATTCATCACTCAACAATCTTCTCACTCCTATTTTTATGCTAAAGTTTAAAAAAATTCAATTTAACTACTCATCTTTCAAATTTCTCTTATTTTAATCACTCTCATTTATTTTATTAATAATTTTGTGATATGACATTTTTATTATTATTTTCTTAATATATAATTAAAAAAAATTAAATTTGAAAGTTAGTGTGATTAAATTAGGAGTAATTTGAAATTTAAGTATTTAAATTTAAAAAAAACTTTAGTGACCACAATAAGAATGAGAAGATAGTTGATTGATGAATGATGCAATTTAAGTATTTTAATCCCTCTTCTTTTTATTCGGGTGGGGCAGACAATAGTCTGAAAAAAATCATGAAAGCATTACACTCCTATTATATGTGATTTTAATGTCCCAAATACTTTTGATGGAAACGGAAATGATGATAGGTTAAAGTACTGTAGTTGTTTTGTCCTCGTATTCCCTTCCCCTTACATCCATGGTGATGTCTTTAATTAATAGGCATAATGTCAAAAGGTTTTTCATTTAACAGTTATTTTAACTTTATTCTTTTTTTTATTTTGATTTTTTTTGTTCTAATGTTTCATTTTAGATCAAAATAATCATTGGATGGAAGAAAATTATTAATTGACTAACTATCAACGTTTGTCGTTAATATGCTATTGTCACGTGTATATATATGAGGGACAACATGACACATGCATATGTTTAAAGCGATGATATGACAGATGCCATCAATGATAGATTTACATGTACTCGAGTTGAAGTCCAATTTTTCTTCAGTTAGTTACTTATTTTAGTGATGGTACCTACTCTAAAATATTATTTATGTCCTCCTCATTCAAAAATTGTATTATTAAACCTATATGTGTCAACCCTAAAAAAAATATTTCTAGATCTGTCACTACATGCTATATATACATAAGTAATGACATGACTTTTGTCACGTATCCAAATTTATCACGTTAGCGACATGTATTAACCATTAGTTAATTAATTATTTTTATCCAACTAAGTAAAATTTGGTCTTAAAAAATATTAGGGTCAAAATATTTAAAAATATATATATAAGAATTAAAGTGACTATCTTTATCTTATTCAACATTAGAGGTAAATTTTAGGATTATACTTAAATAATAGCATGGATATTGGATAGTGGTGCTTGGTGCGACATTTTTCTGCAGATACAATTTGCAGCTCAAATGTAAAAAAGGAAGTGCTAATCCCACTACACATAAGGCCCCCAATAATCAAAGGAAAAAACTAGAAGGGGGGGGGGATATCTAGAGAGGATTGTAGAAGAAGAAAGTGAGGTCCATGTCCTGGCACCTATCAGAAGTAGGGATTGGGGTATGTTCTTTTGTGTTTTTTGAACCGGAACCGCATGTGTTAAAAGTGATGTGATGAACTGTGTAAATGGCATAAAATGATTTGTCTTGACTTTTTTTTTTGGAGTTATGAATTGTGTTAATGACATAAAGAAAAGAATATGCATGCATGTTAAAAAAAGGTTGTCTTAACCTTTTTTTGTTATGAGAAGATGGAGTTCTTGGGGTTGCTTGTGTTAGGCTAATGGGTTGTCAAATTATGCCCACTTTATGCTTTATTTTACTACACAGTTATAAGTGGCATTGAGATGGAGATGTAAGAGGCGATTGATCATATCAAACACATCATAGTTCTAAAATTGTAGAGTGCGGGGTTATATTTTAAGAGCATTTCCACCATTTCAATCAATAAAATAATATAGATGCTACTATATTTTCTGAGTGATTAGACACATTTATCATCAAGGATAAAACGAAGTAATCAGATCATTGATTAGAATCTTGGCTATGCTAAAACCAAAATCAATTGTTAGTAGTCGGAATTTAAAGCCAAGATTTTTCATTTTGCTTGTGTTGTACTCGGAATTGGGCAGGAGCGTCCATGGCACCATTGCATGCAAATTTAAAGACAAATTTCTGTCGTACTTAAATCTGATTGAACTCTCTCACAACACATACGTATAGGTAAAATATTTAAATCCGGATAGAACAATCTTTTCTTAATCATTTCGGGTTCCGATTTCAAGTCAGCCTCAATTTTAATTTTGGAAATTCATGTTATTATTAGTTTGTATTACTTTGAATTTAACTCATTCAAACAATACCATTACGGTGAAATCCTAATGATAAACTAGAGTTAATTGTATCACATTACGACTCTCATTTTAAGTTAATTTATAAGGTTTTAAATATTTTAATTTCATCCCTAAACTATGACTATCATTCTAAATCTAATTTTTGAATATTTCAATTTCATCCCCAATGTATAACCTTCATCCAAAATTAGTCCCCAAACTTGTTGAACATTCCAATTTTATCCAAACTATATGTATATAGTAATTACATCCCTTGTTAATAAAATCATTAGACCAAGTTATATTATTAAAAGTTTGAAAAAAAGAAGAAATTTAGGTTAAACTATGATTGAAACTAATAACATATATGGATGAATTTGGGGATGAAATTGAAAGATTCAAAACTTTTGAGACCAATTTAAAAATATCATATTTTAAGGATGAAATTCGAATGTTTAAAAGCTTAAAGATCAATTTCAAATGAGAATCATAATTTGAAGATGAAATTAAAATATTCAAAAGTTTAAAGACCAATTAAAAATGAGCATTATTATTTCAGGACATATGATGAAACTAACTATATAAAATAAATAGAAGTTTAACCTCAAATCAAGCCAAACCAAGTCATTGGAAGTTAGCTGTGGAATGATAAAAAAAAAGGCAATAACCAGCAAGGCAAGTAGGGCATGGCAAATAAAGATAAATAATTGTACTTGGCAGCCTATGTTCTTTTTTTATGAATGTATTAATTTAAGCTCACATATATCATTTTCGACATTATCACTGTGAGTATAATTCGTCCACACCTTCCTCGGAAGTCAGAGCCTTTGATCTCACCGGACTAAGATGAGAAGATGAAGGAATGAATTTTGCTAAAACTCTACCAGAAAAAATACAAACTGTGACAATGTATCACTACCAAGATGACGGAATGCTTCCCGGTCTTATGCGGGAGACTGGCTATATCCTTGGTTGAGCATGACGCACCTCATAACGGGTGAGGCTCTGGATCAGAAGGAAAAAGATTGATAAGAAATCGATGAATCATCTCAAAACTGGTGAAGGTGATCACAGCTGCAGGCGTGGTCTGAAAAAATAGAAAACAAATTAACCCACAACTACTATACTATTTTCCAAATGATTTTGTATTTCTTTTTGTTGTATATAAATGAAATCAACAAGGTCCTTTATATAGGCACTAGGTACTACTCTTCCAAAAACAAAAAATAAATTCTATTAAAACTCATAAAAGACAATTAATCTCCTATATCACCCCTTGGCCTTTCACCTACTAAAACTCATAGACCTTTTATTTTCCCATTAACTTCTAAATTTAAAGAAAAACATTAAGGATTACATTTAAGTTTATTCAACAAAACTCCCCCTTAAAACTTAAATGTTTCTACCATCCATCATGCCAATCATCTTCTTGCATTTGTCAAGAAGTACTTTCGGTAGCGGTTTTGTGAAGATATCCGCAACTTGATCCTGACTTGCCACATGCACCAATTCCACACTTCCTTCCTTCACATGATCTCGGATAAAGTGAAAACGAACATCGATGTGTTTGCTTCTTTCATGGTTCACTGGGTTCTTTGCCAACTCAATTGCTGATTTGTTGTCAACATGAATCACAGTTACACCTAGTTGCTTTAGCTCCATCTTGCTCAACAAATTTCTAAGCCATATCGCATGACATACACACCAAGATGCTGCCACATATTCTGCTTCACACGTCGAGAGCGTCACGATCGGCTGCTTCTTTGAAAGCCAAGTAAACGCAGTATCTCCCATAAAAAAACACATATCCCGATGTGCTTTTCCGATCGTCTATGTCTCCGCACCAATCGCTGTCGGAGTACCCAACCAATTTGTAATCTTCTGCTTTCGAGTAGAACAACCCGAGTGACACTGTTCCTTGGATGTATCATAGGATTCGCTTCAACGCCTTCCAATGTGAATAAACCGGCTCCTCCATGAACCGACTTACAATGCCGACACTTAACGAAAGATCCGGCCTTGTGCATGTGAGATATCGAAGGCTTCCTACCAAACTCCGGTATCTACTCGCATCGACACGTTCCCCTCCATCGAACTTTGATAATTTTGCACCTGGTTCCATTGGTGTTGATACCGGGTTGCAATTTTCCATATTGTATTTCTTCAAAATCTCTTTTGCATATGTCTCCTGCGATACAAAAATACCTGTCTCTACTTGTCTAACCTCCAAACCAAGAAAAAACTTCATTAAGCCCAAATCTGTCATCTCAAATTCCCGTGTCATTGTGCCCTTAAACTCTTCTATCATCTCATCATTGTTACCCATAAAAATGAGATCATCAACATAAAGAGCAACAAATAACACGTTACCTCCATTCTTCTTTGCGTAAAGGGCATGCTCGTAGGGACATTTCTTGAACCCGTTCTCCATGAAATATGTATCGATACGTGTATTCCATGCCCGTGGTGCTTGCTTCAACCCGTAAAGAGCCTTCTTCAATTTTAACACCTTTTTATCTTCTTCAACTTTTACGTACCCGGGTGGTTGTTCGATGTAGATATCTTCTTCAAGCACACCATTCAAGAATGCCGACTTGACATCCATTTGAAATATCGGCCATTTGAATTGAGCAGCTTGTGAAATGAGTAATCGAATTGTCTTCATTCTTGCAATAGGAGCAAACACCTCGTCATAGTCAATTCCTGCCTTTTGCTTGTATCCTTTCGCAACAAGTCGCGCTTTGTATCGTTCTATCTCGCCTTGAGCATTCATCTTTTTCTTGAACACCCACTTCACACCAATAGGCTGACTTCCTTTCGGCAATTCTGCTAGCTCCCATGTGTTGTTACGGTCAATCGCTTCAATCTCCTCGTTCATGGCAGTTCGCCACTTCTTGTCTCGCAACGCCTCTTCAAAGCTGATATTTTCAGCATCTGCCAAAAGACATACAAGGTTTACTTCATTTGTCGAATCATACAAATCTTGTAAACTTCGTATTTTGGGTTGTCTTGGTTCATCTTCATCATTGGTAGTTTCAGAGTTTGTTGGTATGCTTTTTGGTGAAACGATTGATGATTCTCCAACTTCGATGATAGCCTCTGTCGAATTGTTCCAGTCCCACTCGCTTGCTTCGTTTATTCGCACATCACGACTCACCATCACCTTCTTGCTTATCGGATCGAATAGCTTGTACCCTTTTGTCTTCTCATCATACCCAATAAAAATATACTTTTTACTTTTGTCTTCGAGCTTCGTTCTTCGTTGATCCGGTACGTGTGCATAAGCAACACTACCGAACACTTTGAGATGAGAAACTGTCGGCTTTTGTCCGCTCCATGTCTCTTGTGGTGTTTGATCATCTAACTTTACATGTGGACATCGATTTTGTACATAGATGGCACATTGCACGGCTTCTACCCAGAATTCCTTCGGCATCTTCTTGCTCTTGAGCATTGATCGAACCATGTCGAGAATGGTCCGGTTCTTCCTCTCGGCCACACCGTTTTGTTGAGGAGAGTATGGTGCAGTTAGAAATCTCCTTATGCCTTGCTCCTCGCAATACTCCATGAAAGCTGTCGAAGTATACTCGCCACCTCTATCGGATCATACGGCTTTGATGTGTCTACCAGTTGCCTTCTCCACCATCACTTTGAACTTTTTGAACACCTCAAATGCCTCGGATTTTTCTTTCAAAAAATGAACCCAAGTTTTTCATGAGAAATCATCGATAAAGGAAATGAAATACCTTTTACTGCTGAAAGATTCGGGGATGATTGGTCCACATATGTCGGTATGAATCAACTCGAGAGGGTGTTTAGCTCGATATTCTGCCTTCTTTTGAAACGAGGTTCTCGATTGCTTGCCAAGCACACATTCTTCACAAAATTTGCCCTCATAATCTATATCCGGCAGCCCGTGCACCATGTTCTTCTTTGCTAACTCTTTTAGACCACCATGATGTAAGTGACCAAAGCGAAGATGCCACAGTGATGCTTTGTCTTCTACGTCGATTCGCAAACATTTTTCTCGCACGCTTCTCAAATTTAGTTTGTACATCCGATTTTTGCCCATCTCGACTCGAGCAACTATACGCCCTTGCTTGTCCTTCAAGTGTAGTATCCGATCTTTCAAAAGTGCCGAGTAACCTTTCTCTGTGAGTTACCCCATACTCAAAATGTTTGTCTTGAGATCTGGTACATAAAAAACATCTTGGATTGACCCTATCAAGCCATCCTTTTGTAAGTAACAAATCGTACCTCGGCCTTTGACCTCCACTTTTGATGCATCTCCAAAAGACACATGACCATCTTCAATCTTTTTCATCTCTTTGAATAGGTACTTGTGACCACACATATATTTGCTTGCGCCCGAGTCGAGGTACCACAGAGTGTCATTGTTGATGTTGAATTCATTTTGAGCCATCAAGAGAAAGCCTTCATTCGCTTCATATTCCAAGGCTAGGTTGATTGTTTCTTCCACCTTTTTATCGTCTCGACAATCTTTTGCAAAATGCCCCACTTTACCACAGTTATAACATTTGTCAGAGTTGCAATCCTTCGCGTAGTGACCATACTTGTAACACTTGTAGCACTCGATATTGGAATAATTTGATCGGCCACCTCTTCCTCGTCCGTGTCCTCTTCCACGCCAATTTGGTTGGCTTGACTGTCCATTCTCCTTATAGTACCCTTCATGACTGTCGCCTTGACCACCGCGACCATATCCACGACCTCCACGGCCACGACCTTTACCTCGAAAATTTTGAGAATAAAATACCTTTTCGTCTTTGATTAACGCCTTGGTTTGAAGTGCTTGCTCAAGTGTCTCCTCCTTCTTTTTCTTTTTACGTTGTTCTTGTGCCTCGAGTGAACCAGTAAGCTCGTTGACTGTGAGTGTCGCAAGGTCTTTTGACTCTTCTATTGCGCACACAACATTCTCAAAATTGTCGGTTAATGATCTCAAAATCTTCTCCACAACTCGTGCCTCGGTTAACGCTTCGCCATTACGATTGAGTTGGTTCACCACGGTTTGTACACGTGTGATGTAGTCGGATACACTTTCCAACTCCTTCATCTTTATGCTTTCCAACTCGCCACGAAGAGTTTGGAGACGCACTTGCTTGACTCGGTCGGCTCCTTTGAAAACTTTTCCTAAAATGTCCCACGCTTCTTTTGAAGTAGCTGCACCAGCAATCTTCTCAAAGCCCGACTCGTCAACGGCTCAGAATAACATGTATAGTGCCGCCTTATCCTTCGATCGCGCCTCTTTCAACGCCTTGGTTTGAGCCGCCGTATATCCCGTGGTTGTTGTTGGTTCTTCGAAACCTTCTTCGACCACCTCCCATGCATCTTGAGATCCGAGAAGAGCTTTCATTTGAATGCTCCAGTTCTCGTAGTTCGCCTTCGTTAGTCGTGGTAGCGACATTTGACCCGTCACATTTGCCATTGACTCTGATACCAATTTGAAAAAATAGAAAACAAATTAACCCACAACTACTATACTATTTTCCAAATGATTTTGTATTTCTTTTTGTTGTATATAAATGAAATCAACAAGGTCCTTTATATAGGCACTAGGTACTACTCTTCCAAAAACAAAAAATAAATTCTATTAAAACTCATAAAAGACAATTAATCTCCTATATCACCCTTTGGCCTTTCACCTACTAAAACTCATAGACCTTTTATTTTCCCATTAACTTCTAAATTTAAAGAAAAACATTAAGGATTACATTTAAGTTTATTCAACATGGTCTTGGTAAGATTCGTTGCGCACCCACGGTAGAATCCAGCAAACCCTTCTTGCTGAAACACTTTTCGGATACAATCCGCCACACCAGAATAGCATTTCTCCGAGTGATGTCCCCGTTCCTGAAACCTTGAACGTACCCACCTATATCGTCCAAGAATAAATAACTAAATGACACTAATGATAAGAAGCACTTTTAAATGCAGTTCTCAAACAATGTTTACGGCTCTGGACAAAATGAAAGCAGTAGGAGAAAAGATACTGGCAAATCCCACATCTTTTACATGTCAAGTGCAATGCAACCTTATTCATAAGAAATTAGTTGCAAACAATTATCCATCATACCTCATGTGGATAAGTCAATGTGGATGCAAATATTTTAGAAACTGATGATGCAACAGTAACGTCCCGTGCACCGAGTTTATCCACCGGAGTGTTATCTGCCAAGGCCCCATTAAGTTAAAATATCTTCAATGAGTAAAAATCTATAGGTTATTAAATTTTTTTTATTATTAACCTTGATTAGCTAAATAGAATTTGATCTTCTTGTATGTTAGAAACTGAATGGCAACATGACTAATACCTGCTAATGCAGGGACGAGTCCACTGTTCATAAGGCAAAAAATGACATCCAGTTCCAGTAAAAAAACTTGGTTCGAAAAACAGAAGAATTTATCAATTTCTTATGAATGGTGCTACAATACCTGTATAGACCCCGAATACCCTCCTCATGAGCTATTATCCTAAAAGCAGAAAGCGTACTCCTATAGGGAACCACTCCTGCTCTCATTCCTGGAGTCTATAAAAAGGTGGCAGATGTCAACGCACAACAGCTCTAAATCTTTTTTTTTTTACAAATAAAAACAAAATGCGGCATCAGAGTACAGTTACAAATAAAAAACCTCAGACCGCATACACGGCACACCTAGACTATAGATACAGAATATATCAGCACAATACAATCTAACAAAATATATCACCCATAAAAGCAAACCAAACAACCTAACAGTAATTAGTCATCCATACACTTAACTATTTACTCTATGTAGACACCTATTCTTGTCCGACTCTAAAAAATATTATTAATTAATATTATTATTATTATTAATAATTTACATTACAGGTCCTAAACCTGAGGCCCAAACTGAGGCCAACCACAAGCCCAACAACAGTACAACCCAATTACAAGTTCCAAGATTCGACTCGGATCTAGACCCGACCCGACCGGGCCAGGATTCAACTTAAAATAGATTAGGTTTCTAAACCCTAATCCATCCGCCATCGCCATTAGCTCAAGCGTCCATCACCGGCGCGTGTGACACATGCGCCCAACGTTCCAGCTCCCCATTGCCGTGTGGACTCCACCGCTCGATTCTCCCACTGCGTGAGCTGTCGACGATTACTCCCGAGCCGCTGTCGTCATCCATAGTGCACCAACAACCCCAAATCAATCAGAAAATCATTCAAAATCCATATACATTTTAAAAGTCAATAAATCCTGAAAAAATCTGGATTTTCACCAACTCATACCAGAGAAATCATGCCTATGCTAGAGGTAATGATATCATCTAAACATGTATGGGAGATAAGAGAGAAGAAGATAACATAAGATAATTCGGGGGGGGGGAGAAAAAAAAAGAAAAAACAAAAACGAACACTCGAAAAACAAAGAAAAAAAACCAATCAAGAAACTAAAAAGGATTTACCTGTTTGAGCAGCTGTCGTCGTGGACTTCGCCGAGACAAACAAGCCACCATCCAGAAGGTAAAATTCTTTTTTCTTTTTGCAAAAGGGGGTGTTTCGTGAGTTTTTTCGGGCTTCAAGTGGAGAGTTTGAGTGGTCTTTGGGGTTTTTAGGATAAATGAGTAAGAAAAAAGGTTTGTTTTGGCCTTTTAGCTGATGCTGGACCACCGACTTGCGGTGGTCGGACGATTTGTTGGGTCCTTGCTCGGCGGAGAAAGGGATGAAAGTTGGGGAAAGGAAGAGAAATTTTGAGAGCATTTTTTGCTCTCGTAGTTTGAGGGGAGAGAGTGAAAAATAACAAATGGGGAGGGTTGGTCAATTTTTGGTACCGTTTTGGTTTTAAATATAGGGCGAAACGGTGACGACAAGGGGAGTAATTATGAGTTTTTAGAAAGGGTATATTAGCAGTTCCGGTCCTTCTCGTGTTTTTCAATTTTTTGGGCAAATTATAGTTTCGATCCTCCTTTGTTTGTAATATATTATTTTAGTCATTAATGAAACTTTGCTTTTCTTTGATTTTGGGCTCTCTATTTGACTTGCATTTTATTATCCTTATTATGTAAAGAACATATTTATGCGTATATTCTTGATTTAACCCCTGTATTTTAATTTGTTTATGTTTGGGTATTACATGTTTGTTTTAATGCGTTCTAGTCATGTTTTATTGGTTGTAGTCTCTTGGTTAAATTGATGTTGGGGGCATGATGTTTTATATCTTTTCATTTTAGTCATATATGTTGACTTGGGTTTTATTTCCAATTTAGTCCTTTCTATTTTGACCACATTAAGTTTTAATTCCTATAATTATTACATAATAGGGTCTGTAATTTATATTTCATTATGTTTTAATCCTTGATGCTGTTATATGTGAAATTTGATTGTTTTTTATTGGCTCTCATATTTTTATGTTTTATATTTCGATCCTTTATTTATGTGCACATTGGTATTATTGCTTCCACCTTATTTTTATATTTCATTTTGTTTTCTAAAATGTGTAAATGGGAAAATTTCGTTGTGAGGGAAATCTAGGAAGACATCTCCCAACTACAAGAGAAGGTGTCTTTACGAGGATTTTTCGCATAAATGTTTGTGTTGTATTCGATAACTTTCTTTGTTTCACGTTTATCTATTTTGATTATTTTTCACCTCTTTTCACTTTTATTTTGTTTTATTTTATCTTTGCAAAAAATTGTAAAATAACGTCTTTTGTGAGGGGAATATATGAAAAAGTCTCCTATCTACAAAGGAAGTGCATTTTCAAGGATTGTTCATACAAAATGAAGTATTTTCTCTTATAAAAATAATATTATAATATATTTTATTCTATAAAAATATTTTTTGGGCCATTTAATCTTTTTGATCCATTGCATTCCTTATTTTAAGTTGTTTTTTTAAATTAACACTTGTTTAAATAAATTTGAATAAATAGAATGATCATAATTTAAATATATTTTTCAAAGTTTGTATTTCCCAATAATTAAACAACATATAATCGTTTAGGTACCAAATTTTGGGCGTTGTGGGGGTGCTTACCCTTCCCTACCCGTAATCGACTCCCAAACTCTAAAAAATGAATCTTTGGTAAAACACATACCATTTTTTGTCGTTTAAGGTTTTCAACCTACCTAACTTAAAGGTTGGTGGCAACTCCAAAACCGAATTGTTTTCGAAAATGAATTTCATCGCCTTACCCGAATCCCAATTTTTCAAGTCTAACGGATCCTCGAGGGAGACGTTATGACAGCTTGGCGACTCCGCTGGGGACTTCGAGAGTCAGGCCATAAACGATTATACGTTGTTTTTATTCTTAAGAATTACAAACTTAAATTGTATTTAATTTATGATCCTTTTGTTTATTTTGAGTTTTAAGATATCATGCATTATTCTATATTTTTAACTAATTGATTTTTGATGTTAGTGGTCTTCAGATTTGAACAGCTTTTTGAAACTTGTGAAAGTGTCATTTTTTGATGTGTTTTCAAAGGTTTGTGAATTTCTCCTCACACACAAAACTTGCATTTACATACCATAAGCTCACTTACGAGCTTCATCCCTTTTAATTTGAGGTGAAAGCTTAGCCTACGTGAGATTATTTGTTTCTCTGTACGGTTTTAGCAAGTAACCTTTGGGGTTCATATACCTTATGTCTACGTGAGATAAATTATTTCTCCGCATGGACGTAAGGGAATGTATCCTCTCGAATTGAACTCGATCAGCATGAGCCTATAATGGGCTAGGATTGAGGGTTTGGCAGCCTAAGGAGGCACCAACATGGACAATTCAAGTACCTTTTCTTTAGAACCCAATATTACTTATAGTGAGCCCTAGTAACCCACCCTAATAAAATTCATATCGAAACTCTGTTCGTTGTTAGACATCCAAATAAGCATACACAAAGGAGAAATGACACTAAGCCTCATTTCTTTCTTTACTCACATTATTTTATTTTCTGAATAAAGCATGTGAATTAGATACCATGCGGTTAGGATCATTTTTTTTAAATAAATTACTTGAGTAGAAAGCATGTCTAGGTAAGAGTACTATTTAATGAAAGCATGCTTGGGTAGATACCGTGATTGGGTAGGTGTTGTATTTATTTTTATATAGCATTTTTTTATTTTATTGATTATCTTGCCGTATTAACTTATTTTGTTTCTTTTGCTTGTGTCATTTTTCATCATTCTTTGCATTACATTTACGGATCAACATTTTTTTTGCATCTGCTTTGCATCATTACATTTTGCATGGCATTCATTTAAGCATTTTACTTGCATTAATCATGGATTCATGGATTTATCTAGTGGAGGACTCTGAGGAAGTGTTTTTAACTGTGCAACATCAATCACACAGTACTAAGCATGGAAGCAAAATTTGAGAAACTAAAGAAAGAATTGGAAGAGAATTTGCAAAGGATGCAAACAGAGTGGGAAGCTAAAATGGAGCAAGCGCAAAAGGCCATTGTGGATCACATCTTCCAAAGACAAAACGACCTAGTTGACCAAATCATAGAATAACTGACTAGACTCAACCAAGAAAGAGGCAAAGAAAATATTTCTTCGACCAGAGAAACCTCTGAATATGTGATGGCACATGCTAATCCACTAATACTCGTTTCTCCCAACAAACTTCCAAGCCACCCAGTAGGCTTCTCCGCCACTAAACTCAAGCAACCTTGTTACATCCTCGAGATAATTATACTGATCCCCACATGTCAAATCCTGATGAGATGAAAAGAGCCAAGAATGAGATCCTGAAGAATTTGAAACAGTGGTACAGAGAGACATTCAAGGGAATGAGAGGAAAAAGCTCTCATAATGAAATGGATGCAAGGGAACTAGTCTTAGTTCCTGAATTGGTCCTCCCACCTAAATTTAAGATGCCTGACTTTGAAAAGTATAATGGAACCAGTTGCCCTAGTGCCCATCTCAAGATGTTTATTCGAAGGATGACTGGAAACACCAACAATGATTAGATGTTGATCCATTTATTTCAAGACAGTTTGACTGGACCTGCTTCTAAGTGGTATAATCAACTGAGTCATACTCAAATCCGCTCTTGGAAGGATTTGGCTTATGCCTTTTTGGGTCAATACAAACACATAACTGATATGGTCCTTGATCGAACAATGCTGTAAAATATGGAGATGAAGAATGATGAGAGCTTTTGACAATATGCGCAACGATGAAGGGATATTGCATCTCAAGTACATCCACCAATGACTAAAAGAGAGTTTATCACTGTATTCATCGACACATTGGAATCACCATATATCAACTACATGATAGGAGCTATAACTATGAGTTTCTCTGACATCATCATATGTGGAGAAATGGTTGAAAGGGCTTTCAAGAATGGTAGGGTAAAAGGCACTAGTAGTACCGATATTGAGGAAAGAGCTGAGATTAACATGGTGGGATCTTATCTAGCTAATCAGGGGACTAAACCTCATAGGGTGTTATGTGAAAGGACTCACATCGATCCAATTCCAATGACGTATGAGGAATTACTTCCAACGTTAGTTGAGATCAACCTTGTGACTCTGGTTCAATCCAAACC